GTAGGGCAGCCAGGAGGAGGAGAAGGAGGATGAGGAGGCAGGTGGAGTGGGGCTGCTGGGGGACGTGTCGTGCTGGGGGGGTCCTCTGTGCCCAGGGAGGCTCCAGTGGGTCAGGGGGAGGGTTCAAGTCGAAAAGTGTGCAAGGGGACAAACACAGTCAAGGTTTGGGGACAAAAGAGTTGAAGTTTGGTGCAAACGGTCATGATTTGGGTGAAATGGTGGAGGTTTTGGTCAAATGGTTGAGGCTTGACTCTTTTTGACCAAGGTCTTGGGAAAGGGTGAAAGCTCGATGCAAACGATTGAGGTTTTGGGCCAAGGGTTGAGTTTTGGGGCAGAAACAGTCAAGGGTTTGGGCAAACTGTCAAAGCCGGTTGCAAACGGTCACGGTTTGGGGAAAGACGTTGAGGTTTGGAGTAAAGACGATCAAGGGTTGGTCCAAAATGGTTGAGGGTTTGGGCCAAAATTGTCGAGCTTAGGGGCCACAATGGTAAGATTTGTTGAAAAATTGTTCAAGGTTTAGGGTCAAGAGTTGAGTTTTGGGGCAAAAACACGGGAGGTTTGAGGTAAACAGGCCAAGCTTGGTGCAAATGGTTGAAGTCTGGGGCAAAAATGGTGGAGTTTTGGGGCAAACGACCAACATTTGGGTTAAATATTTGAGGTTTGGGAAAGATGTTTGAGTTTTGGGGCAGCACATTTGGGGTAAATATTTGAGGTTTGGGAAAGATGTTTGAGTTTTGGGGCAGCAATGGTCAAGGTTTTGGGGACATGCTCAAAGCTTGGTGCATATGGTCAAGTTTTGGGTTAAAAAGGGTCGAGATGTGGGGCAAAGAGTTAGTTTGGAGCAAACTGTTGTGATTTAGGGTTCGATGGTCGAGGTTTGGGGCAAAGGGTTGAGGGTTGGGTCAAGGCCCTGGGCAGGGTGCAGGGTCCAGGCTGGTTCAGGGGGGTTGGGAAGATTTGGGGACCCAGCGCAGGGATGTGGGGACACGGGGGCAGGATCGGGGCCACCACCATAACCACAACAACCACCATAAGCATCAGCTTCTTTCGCGCAGTAGTAGGTGGCCGGGGCGTAGGGCCCGCGG